TATGAAGAATTAGAGAGCATATACTCTGAAAAAAAAATTTATAGAATCAATCGACCTGAATTGGTGACCTAAACAAGAACAACTTTACTGGCAGTAGTAAAGGAAGGAGCTAAAATGGTAAAGGCTGAAGTACAAATGGAAGATGGGGAAGTAGTCACATAAACAGTTTCAACAGTGTGTTGTATGTTATATTCGGACATGTTCAAAATGCTGTGGAAGCCTCGACCGAACTGAGGAAGTTTTCCAGAAAGAAACAACATTTGAAATGATTCTTAAAGATTCATGTATAAGCATAAAGAAGAGCATTCTGGTTAGACAAAACAGCATTATAAATACTGAAAAAATAACAAGGATAAAAATAATAGTAACGGATAATATTTCTAAGTGTTTACCATGTTCTAAAAGCTTTACAGGTCTTAGTTCACCTAAATTACAACATCAGCCTCTTTCTTCAACTTTCACCCACCATCACTTGGTTGGACTCTTACAGTAGCCTGGCGGCTGACTTTTCTGCTGCTGCACTTGCCTTCTGGTTTATTCTCGCAGAGCAATTAAAGTGACGTATTAGAACAAACACCATCCATGCTCTCCAACAGCTTTCTCTTTGGTGAAAACCAAAGTCCTCACTATGACCTACACGGCTCTTTATTATCTAGGCCCCCACTGCCTCCTTCATCTCACCGCCTATCACTTTTTATCTCTATCACTTTGCTCCAGCCAGACTATTTTCCAACACGTCGAACAAGTTTCTGTCTCAGAGCCTTTGCACTTGCTCTTCTCACCGTGTGGAGTGCATGTTCTTGGATATCCGCATGGCTCAGTTCCTCACTTCCTTCATGTCTCTGTTCAAATGTCACCTACAGCAGGGCCTTCTCCGACCAAGCCATCGTAACCATCACCCAAATCCTCCAGCATGCTTATCCTCTCTATACATTTTTTCCATATGTGATATACTTCATGACTCTTTTTTTTATTGTCTGTCTTCCCCAACTAAGATTCAGTGAAAGCCCCATGAAAGTAGGGACTCTCCTTTCTATTCAGTGATATTTCCTCAAGATGAGTACGGTTCTTGACATGTGTCAAGACCTGTGAGGGTCTGAGATTTTACCCTACTTGAGAGCTAACAAGTTAGCTTGCCATGGCCAAATGGATGCTGGCAGAAGACATAGATTCCTGGGCCAGAGACAAGGGACTTAATAGTTTAATAGCAACAGTCAGCATGTCAGCACTGGTTCTAGTTTCTCAAGCCCCATTTTCCACAGGGTGATGTGCAGAAGGCCAAGTGGTACCTGAACAGAAAGAGCAGTGTGTTACAGCAGTAGGAAGCCAAGCTTTTTAAAAAATCCCTCATCTTTTTAAATGGGCACTATGTCTCCATAAGCATTGCCCTGGAGAGGGATATGATCTTTATTTTACTGAACGTAAACAAACCTCTCCTTTATTCTAGAGAGAGACACTATTCCGCTTTCCCAGGCCATTTGTTACACGCCCTTGAGAAGGTCATCTGAAACACAGGCAATCAGTGTCTCTATCCACAAGACATGCGGAAACATGATAGAGAGTGAAGAACTGTCTTCCAATAACACAAAACATATTTTTGCGTAGACACAAAACATATTTTTGAATGAAAGGTGAACATTTTGAGTCAGGTACTATTATTACTTCCGTCCTCAGATGAATAAATCGAGGCACAACAAAAGTGAACTAGATATACAATATCAGAGAGCCAGTAAGTGTCTCTGTCAAGCACATTCTAGCCCTAGAGCACACACACACCTCAGGGAACTGAGTCCTCACCATCTCTAACCTGTTCTTCTGTTAGCTATTTTAAGCCTTGTGAATGGGTAACAGCAAAAGGAGAGAAAGAAGAGAAAGAATAAAAAAAGAGAAAAGCCGAAGAAAAGCAAAAAAGAATAGAGAGGGTTTTTAAAATATCCACACCTATTCATTTATCCAGAACTACAGAATATAAGAGATCTTTGAGATCCCCTTACAGAAGAAAAAACAGGGGCTCAAGAAAGGAAAAGCCTCCCCATAATCATAGAGGTTAAGGAGAGAACCAACACACTAACCACCTTTTAGAACTCTTTTCCCAACAGAATTCTTGGCCTTGAACATTTCAGGCCCATGCCTTTCCTTTCACTTTTCTTACACAGATGACATCCAAACCCGGAGCCAACCTACTGCAGAGTCAATCAATAACCAAGGAGATCTACGACACAGGGCAGCAGGTGGAGCTGGGGCTGTCATTTTGCCTATATAATTCTTCCAGTCCAAGGGTTGTGAAGAGAAGTGGTAGGTTCAGTGCAGTTTCTGACTGAGCTCTGGACACACAGCTTCAGCCATGAAGGTAACAGGCATCCTGCTTCTCATTGCCTTGGCTCTGCTGAGTTTATCTGGTAAGTGTTTTTGCATATTTTTCTGATTTGAGTAAAACCTGTTGACCTATTGCTTTAATGAGCACATTACCTTCTATGTTTAGGCATAGCCTAGTCTTGGACAGAACTTTTGGTCCCAATGAGATGAAATAAGGTCAATGGATGAGAATCACAGAAAGAGGAATTTTACATAAAATAAGGAGAACAATTTTTAACATTATTTACAAAAGGAGACTTAAAAGTAATTGCAAAAGTTAGTTTTGTGTCAGAAGACCTGATTATTGCTAATGGTAACTGTTTTACAGCTAGTTATATAAACTTTCCATATCTTCATTGGTAAACTGAGATAAAGATATTTTTACTTCTTATATCACTAATTGTGAGATCAAAGATCTAAGTACCCAGTTGTTAGAATGTCAGTGAGCATTCAGAAGATATTTGCTCAGTGTCTAACTCATTTCAAGGAAATGGGTCAACTTTTCCGAAATACCAATTGAGATACTTCGGTCATCATCAAATTTTTGCTTAATTTTTTTAGTATCCATCACACAGAGAGTGAAGGGACACCAATGAGATGTCCTTGAGAGAAAACAGGAATAAGAAGGAGTGGGGAGTGGAAGAGGCCAGCAGAGAAGTCACAGTCTTAAATGGAAGCAGAAAATTCTGAATTAGAACAGGTCTGGCTTCTTTCAATCAGGACGCAACTTCACATGTCTGATCTATGTTTTCTAGGTAACGCTAGAGCTGACCCCATGGGAAGAAAGGTAAAGACAATTTTGCAATTGCTTATCTCTCAGGCTAGAACTGTTTGTTCCAACCAAAGCACAGTTTAGCTGTCACCTTTCAGTTTCACCCGAAGTCAAGACGAGGCGTATGAGTGCTAGCAAGGCTTAATTTATTAAACTAAGATAGTTAATAATCGTTACCCCAAAGGAGCTTATGTTCAAGGGCAAATCCACGGATTCGAAGAAAATTTCTATGTAGTCATCTAGTGCTTGCCGTGAAGGGATTTTTTAACATACTGGGGCTATTTGGAAGGGCAAGGATTTAGAGTGGAAGCGCTCTTAACCTCACTCCAAATATCACTTCCTCCTTATGTGCCCCCGTGAAGTTCTCCAAATCACCAAGGTGGAGCTCTAATTAATAATGAGCAAAGGAAAATAATAAACTAGGTTCTTCCTCTAGAAAAATATTCTATATCTAACTTTTCCATTTTTTCTTGTGTTTATAAAGTAAATTTCAGTAAGTTTGGAGACCAAAGGAAGAAGTATTCTTCTTATTACATTTATATCTAGTGGAGAGGCAGATGACAAATCAAAAGTACATAAGTGAATAAATTATTACGTTTGTAATAAGTATTATAAAGAAGTTTTGCTACCATTAGGAACTTAGCCTAGTGATCAGAGAAAGTCCCTAAGTAATTGAGGTTTATTTTGAGCCACAAAGGATAAATGCGTGTTAGCAAAATATAACTGGTGAGGAGAAGTAGTAGAGTGAAGGGGTTAAAAGCTAAAGCTCAGGACCTACATTGACTGGGTTTGAATCCTGGATCCAAGAATTAATAGCTGTGTGGCCATAGGTGATATAATTTGTGCCTCATTGTCTTCACCTAAAGAGGAGTGTAATAAAAAGTTCATAGGATAGTTGTGAGTTTTAAACAGAGTAATAAATTAAAAGCACTCAGGACAGTCTCTGGCCTATAACAGTCATTCAGTAATTACTAGTACTTCCTGTCACAGAGGAAATAGGCTGTGCAAAGACCCCAAGGTGGAAGGCACCTAGTACCTTCAAGTAACTGAGAGAAGACCAATGTGACTGAACCATAGTGTACAAGGAAAAACATGCCCCAAGGTGTGGCTGACCCGAGAGGGGCCAGCAGTAATCAAAAATTGAACATTATCTAACTTACCTTATTAAAACCTTGTAACATCATTATGAAGGAGGTGGGAAAAATAATAACATTTCCATTTTACAGATGAAATGACCGAGGTTCAGAGACACCAAGAGATTTACCAATGTCACACAACTTGTAAATAGTATAGGCATTACTTAAAAGCAGGTTTCCTGACTAAAATTGTGGATTCCTTCTCTTGGAACACTCAGTACCATTCTCCCAATTACAATCATACTTCTACCTTTTAGCCAAGCAACTCCAGGGAGGTAAAAACCATGTTAGAGATTTTACTGTAAATTCAAAGAATAAAAAATAATGGAAAATTATTGTTTATTGTTTAATTCCATTTTTAGGCTGTATGTACCAGTAAACTGAGTGGATGTCCCAAGATCTACAATCCTGTCTGTGGGACTGATGGAACTACATATCCCAATGAATGCGAGTTATGTATGGAAAATAAGTAAGTACAAACTTAAATTTCTTTTAAAATCTATTTTAAACTAGTTGTCTTCAAATTTTCATATATCTTATCTTTTCAAGCCCCAATCAACAATCCAATAACAACAATCTTACCATGAGAGAAACAAAACACCTAGTTTTTCCAAAAATAATTTTCAATCCTTTTTCTCCTTATTATATATCTACTATAAGATAGAGAGGTGTGTGTTTATATATGTGTGTATGGGTGTTCTGACAGAAAATAATATTTACTGTGCCGAGCATTGCATGGGGTATTTAATATTCACAATGAGACTATGAGCTAAACAATACTAAGCTCATTAGACACACGAAGAAGTTGAGATTCATTAGTTTAAATAATTTGCTTAAGATCACCCAGCAGTAAGTGGCAGAGCAGAGGATGAATCCTTGCTCTTTCCACTATTCTTTAAAGTCAGATACCAGACGAATTATCTGTGAGATGCAGAAGAAAATTCACCATTCTTTGTCTCTCAATCTGCTTACCCTCAATGCTAACACCGTGTGACTAATGGGAGTATGAGCGCAGTGGCTCTGAGAGCACAAAATTAAAAACAACTAATTATGCCTGCTTGGGTTTAGAAAAGTTTGGAGGCTTTCTCTCTGCCATAAAGAAGGAGAGAAACAAGAAGAACAAAAGAGAGACAGGAATTAATAACACTGTGCAATATAAAATGTGTTAAGGAAAGGACAATAGAATAGAGGAGGGAAAGTGTTTGAATGGTTCTCTCAATGAATTTTTAAAAAATCACTGGTAGATAAAAATCCATGCTTTTATAGCAAAACAGTAGACAGTCTGGATTTTAAAAAGCTCATACACCCAAAATATCTTTAAATTTAAAATATCATCCTTTGTGATGGTAATGATTGTGTTTACTAAAAGCTCAAATATGCAAATAAGAATTATACAGATTAGGTAACCAAAACATATTTTCGTAACACTTTTACTTATGGACATGAGAGCCAGGCTCAATGAAGCTCGTTTTCTGAAGTGATTGCTGACAGGTGATGAATATCAGACTCGGGCACTCAGAAAAATAGATTTGCCACAGATTTTCTATCTTTCTTAACACTGAACACTTAATATATGCCAAGCACTGTGCAGCCTCCTCTGCTTTTCTTGTGCTTATGACTAAGAGGAAATAGGTCATGAGCACAAATAAGGTAGCTTCTTGTAACTTGTGGCAAATGCCACCAAATGAACTGTGAGCCAAGTACTATAGGAGTGAAGGAGAGATATAGATTTCTTCTTACTTAAAGGGTCAAGAGAGGATTAATAAAAAGGATAATATTTAAACAGGGATCTGAATTTTGGTAGCATCACAAAAGCATTCCAGGTTAAATAGAGGTGTAAAACAATCAAAACAAATAAAGATTTCGTGAGTGACCCAGAAAACTCTTAGTTATTATGAAACTGCTTTGTATTAAAGACCTCGATTTAGGCTCAAATGACAACATACATTTCTATTATTCCACGGTATAAGTTTTCTATAACACACGACCCCTCTTCTTGGTCCACTTTAAATCATTTCAGAATATTTTCAGTGTTTTAAACAAGGATTGTGGAAATAGTTCTTTATGGAAAGAGATTTAATATCTTAAAGTTTTAGACCCAAAACACTAGGTGTTCTGCTTTGTGGTAAATTTCTTTCCACATCGAAGATTTATAAGAGGAACTTGAAACCACTTGCTAATTTTCTCATGACCTACGTTGTTGACACTAAGATTAAACATCATATTTCCATCCAAGGGAAGAAGAAAACAATAGAACAGCCTTGAGACTTAGGAAATTTCCAAGAGCCAAGACCAAAAGGCCCAATATTTAGAGTGAAACATATTGGAAAAATAGGAGCATAGAGCTGGGACACCTTATTCCCTTAGCCTTTAAAACCTATCAGGCTTGCTTGCTCTTTCTATTCCATAAAAAAAAGTATATGCAAATATGAGAGGAACATTTAAACATCAGAAAACATAACTTTTCTTCCTATATTTTTCAAATAAAAAAAAAAACAGGTCTACAGAGAAAATGTGGCTTTCTCAAATGCAACATCTTTTCAAATGTACCATATTGCCTTTCTCTCTATTGCCTATTAAAAGCACCAGACGAATGCATTGTACAGTTAACTACAGTGAGGTTCTGACTCTAGTTGTTGGGTTCTGAGATAAGCATACAAACAAGGGCTTGTATCTCCTTGTTCATTACGTGCTTGACAGATATATTCAGTAAGGACCTTTTCCTATTTCTTCTGTGTCTTCTTAGGGACTTTATACTGACAAATTCTTTTCAGCATTCTCTAGTAGAACTTTCTGCAATGACCGAAATGCTCTCTATCTATGTTACGCAATATGAAAGCCACTAGTCATGCCACCAGCACATAAAATGCCGCTAGTACAACTGGGAAACTGAATTTTACTATTACTTAGCTTTAACTGATTTTAATTTAAATACCTACATGTGGATACTGTCTACTATACTGGACAGCACAGCTAGAGAAAAAAGTGAACTTATGTGCTCCGTTTAGATGTTTGTGCTGTGTACGCTAACTCAGAAATAAGTATCATGAGTGGTTAATAGTTATGGAACAAGAAAGCATCAAAAGCTCTTAAAATTAAGAATCAGGAAGGTCCAGATACATACATGCATAAAGATATGTAGAAGTCAGATGTTCTCAAGTAATAGAGAAATAGAAACATTTTATGTCAGTATATTCAAGAAAAAGATGGATTAAAAAATGAGATATCTGGAAACAATCTCATGAGGAACAATGGTAGGATTTAGGAATATTTGTCTTAGAAAGGAGAAAGCTGGTTTGGAAACAGTAGTGTGTGGGGAGCAGAAAAGTTTTTATCTAGAGGCGGGATGCTTAAGGCTGGCAGATAACATGTGATAGAGAGATGACTTCCTTTTGTGAGATCTCACAGATGTGCATCCCTAGAGTCCTAAGGCAAAAGATCAATTAGAAGGACTGCAATAGCCCAGGCAGCAACTAAAATGGAAACATGGTGGCTAGAAAGTGACATCAGGAGTGAAAGACGCAACAATGGACTGGAGATTCATTTCAGAGGTTTACTGTAATGTCCTACTAGATTTGGAAACTCTGTAAGGACAGACACTTTTCCTTCCATTATATCTCCAGTGTCTGTAATAGTTCTTAACCAATATTCAATGAATTAATGAATAATTGAATGAATACATGAACGAGAGAAAGAGAAATGGGAATAAATCTCAAACCTTTCTATCTTAAATAAAGCTAAACTTTTTTTGTTGTTTTTCTCCTACAGTCACCTTTTTTTTTTTTTTGTCAGCAAAGTTTAAGCAATTTTTTTTTTCAATTTCTTCTACAGGAAGCGCCAGATTTCTGTCCTCATTAAAACAGATGGCCCTTGCTGAGAACCAAGGTTCTGAAATCCTGTAAGGTCACCATGATACCCAGTTGGCCCGACTGTTGAATAAAAATGCATCTAAATACTTCCTCAGGTTCCCATGTTTTTTCCTCAAAGGCACGTTTGATTATAGCAGGGACAGAGGACCAAGTTTATGAAACCCAGCAATCCTGTAATTTCAGGCAGGGTTTCTTTTCCTTCATGGTGTTTTTCCTTTACTCATCTTCCTCACATTCTGAGGACTCTGTCTCAGGAAATATGACTGCAGATATTAAGTGACGGGACACAGTTGATCTTTATTAGATGTAAGATTAGACTAGCACTTTCAGGAACAGTTAGAAAACTCCCAGTTCCTTGGGATTTAAATGAGCATCTATTGTTCTTGGCACTGGTCTAGGTACATAGTTGTGAGATTTTAAAGAGCTGCCTAACTGGAAGAAAATAGTTTAATCTTAAAATTTTCCATATATCTCAGTATATAGGTTTAAGGTGAGACACGATTTTCTCAAAGAGGCTCAGAATCATTGAGGAAATCAAAAATGCTGCATATTTTTTACTATGCTGTGGAGCAGCCTCTGCATTCAGCCTTAATTCTTTCTCAGCAGAGGTAATTCTCTATTAGCAACTAAGGTGAGTAGCAGTGATGTAGAGCTCTCTGCTTTTCCTGATACCTAAGATTTGGGGGGAGAACTTCATCTAGGGCTTGACTTAGAGATCTGCATCATAGGTCCTGATGGGTTTGTGCAGAGAGTAAACAAAGACCTGATTCTGACTTAATTTGAGGAATGGTCTCTTTACCACCAAACCATCCCAAAGAGTTGATCTGGCAAAGAAAGAAGGGACTATAAACCAGATGAACTGATAGTGAGGACTCTGTGTAGTTCGCTTTGCTTTACTCATGAGCTACGATAACCCTGTAAGGTTATCTTTGTGTTGTGAGTAGACTTAGAAAAGTTAAGTAACCTGATTAATATCACCAACAAATAAGATGGTAGAGTTAGACTTTTAAGCTAGGGCCGTCTCCAAATCCAATGCTTCTTCATCTAAACCACAATCACTTCTGGGGGATTATTCCTTATCTATTTCCTCTATGGGAATTTTAGGGAATATCTTCATATCAAAAGGCCTATGTATTTATATTCAGAGACAGCAAATAAGGTACAAATAGGGAATTACCTCCAAATAAGAAAGTCTCTATGATTACTCAAAAAGAAAAGAGAAAGCAACTTGATTCCTGAGCTTATACAAAGAACTAGCCTAGAATGGACAAATGGATAGAAGTTTGAAAGAGGCTGAGATGCTTCAGGTCCTCTGCTATATTGTGAGGGAACAGATCACCCATCAAACCAGAAATAACCAATCAAAATCAGTCCCACACCTGCAAAAAAACCTGACACTCGAAGGTTTATGCTAATTTCTTGTGATACTCAGAATCTACATGTCTTGAAGTTTAAATCTGACCACTAGAGGATGCTGTGGTCTGACAACCGCCTGAAGCAAACAAGCATCTAACAGCTCGCCAGATAACATGCTAAGAAATGTTAGGGATGCAAGATGGCTTCCAACGTCTTCTCCGGGATGCTAGAGGGCACTTGGAGGGCACCCCTATGATTAAGAAAATTAGCCATGGAAAACGGAAATTAAAACATTGAAATCTAGAAATGGTCATGTCCTTGATAAGAATTTGATACTTTGTCCAATGATGAATGGCTGAAAGAAGTAGGAAAATTTGATCTGATTAAAAGGGAAACTCTTAGAAATCTGGTAGGTCATTTCAAACAATTTAAGGGAGAGAATGTTAACACCATAAAAGTGAAAACTTTGCTCTTCTTTCAATGCTGTATTACGGGCTAAAAGGCAGTATCTAACATTTGGAGGTGGTCAATTAATGTTCTTTTTTGCTACATAAATTAATGAGGAAGAGGAATGAACATGTTGCTGGTTGGCCCCGACAGGTAGAATTTAGACTAATTAGAAAGAGATTAAAGAGAGACTGATTTGGGCTCAACAGGAAAGCGTATACGATAATAGTTAAGATCAGAGCTCTGATGTAGAGTATGTGGGTTGAAATCTGGCTTTCCCACCACCCAGCCATACATCCTGGGAGAAGTCAGAGAATTTCTCAAAGTCTCAGTTTCCTCATCTCTAATATGGGGTTAATGATAACAATTCCCTCATAGGGCAATTAGCACAATGCCTACCATACAGTAAGGACTCAAGAAGTATTAGCTATATTATTGTTATTGTTACTGTTATTATTCATCTCTTATTCATCTCGTACATAAGCCTTTGAGCTCACTAAAAAGGTCTGGTATATAAACATTTCCCTGATAGGAGGAGCTTTGCTTCTCCAGGTAACAATTCATCGCATTATTGAATTGTCAGGGATTTTGTGAAAGAGATTCCTCAACTGGGTAGTAGATTGTACTAAAATCTCTCTGCTTTTAATTGTAAAAAATTCCATAATTGCACACCACACTTTCAAAGTGGGAACTCAGGAGTCGTAGTCAAGAATGAGCTTTGTGAACTGAAAAGGTTTTGTGGCCCTAGTAGGGAAGAGGGTAGTAAACCCGCCTCCCACCGTTAGGTCCCCAACCCTGGGTAAAGACAAAGACTGCAGTCCTCACAAATGCAGGGCCACACGACTGTGGCTAAACTCCAGGAGGGCATGGTCATGGGGCCAATAGATTTCTGTACAATTTCCTTTATTGGTTCCAGACTATTTGAGATATGAAGCTATTGGAAGGGAATAGTATACCAAAAGTGTTTTGCCCCATTGGAGAAGTAAACTTGTTTGAAATTACTATTTTTTAAATGAACTATACTAAGCCTCTGAAGAAATAGGAACATAAGAAATTTTGAACCTTTATTTCCGTTTCTCTGATCTGATTTATTCCCTGTAAACCTTAGCTTATTCCAACTAAGTAAAAAAATAAATGTATTTGCATAATAAAGGAGGCAATTACCTTAAAAGGTGCAGAGCTCTTACCATTTAAAGCCTTAGCACTGTCAACAATTTCCTTTGTTTTTTCATTATTTAAGTGGTAGCAAATTTTAGCAAAAAATGTGGAATATGTAGATAAAATGATGTTCACAACAAAAGAACAATATAGATCTTCTGCTTCTAAATAAGTCAATAGTCACTGAAAAGCTAACAAACAACAAAAACAGGCTGCTTGGGATGACAGGTAATGCATTCTACTTATTGTATGTGTCCTCATGAATAAGAAGTGTAAAATGAAATGAATACTTTTTTGTGGCTTTTTATTATTCCCTGTTGGAGAAAGAAGGAAAAAGAGAGTACAAAGGGGACTAGGAGTGACCAGCAGAAGAGATTTGTTATCAATAGAAACAGAAAAGTAAGCACAAAGAGAAAGCTCCAAAAAAAAGAAAAAGAAAAAGAAATACCTGTAGAAGTTAGGGGGGGCAGGGAAGCAGAAAGAGCTATGTGTGCTATAAAACAAACCAAACCAAACCAAAAATTATGGAGATAAGTACCTGAATAGATAAAGAATGAGAAGCAGAGAGAAAGTGAAAATTTAGTAATGCGGTTCTGGATGGCCACATTTAAAGTAAGTTATTATATTTTAAACCGCTCATCCTAAATTTCAAGTTTTTTAAAACCCCTTTTATTTACTGAAGTAAATTGTATGTGCTTTTCTTCAAAAGTTACAACTATATTTTTAAAATTATTTTTTTTGGAGTTCTAGAGACCTTTAAAATCTTCAATAAATGACTTAATAGAAATTAACTGCCAAACCTAAAGATGCAAATTAGCCCAGGTGAGAATTAGTGAAGAATAATAGGTAATAGAAGCTAAGCTGTATTGAGTAATTTTGTTGTCAGACCTTACGATAAGAAATGGTAACATCAGTAGGAGTATAACCTCCCAAATTGCTGCTCAGCTCCGTGATTTGGATGCAACCATAGAAGCAGCGGCCATGCATATAACAGCAGCAGGGCTATGAGCTCCTGCATCCCAGCTCCACCTCAGGATGCAGTTTCATCATTAATGGCAGCACCTCTAGCGGATAGTTGGCAGGAGCAAGCAAGGCTCCCATCCACGTTCAACAGTAGCTTCTAGTCCCTAGATAACGCCCTTCTTTCTTTTGTTCTTTCAGCCCTTCTAGGACCATTGTAACCAATTCTCTGCATTAAACGCCTCTTTGAAATATTTAGTGTGTTCTCCAATTTCTTCTGGGCATGACACTAACTGATACACATATGAACCTCTGATTTATAAAATATGTGAGAAAACTGTTTTCCAAAGCTGTCTGCTCTTTCTAGTCACTATTTCCTAGCCTAGCCTGGTATATTATTTAGAAAATTGGGCTGATCATTTCAGTCAGGGAAACTGTGGCATAGGAGAAAAATAGTTACAGGATCTTAGGTAAATTAAAATCATCTTTTAGTGCAAATTTCCTTCAAAAGGGAATAAAGAATATAAGGTTGCCAGAAAAAGTTGAGATAATTATGTAAATGCAACACACAATTATTTGCTTAATAACTAGTTAAGTGGCTTTAGAATTAAAAAAAAAAAATGAAACTAAAATCAACATGAAATATGAGGCTATCTGACTGTTAAGGGGTTGGAAGGTTCTGTCTATTCTTCTTTATCCTTCTGCTCCAATCTCTCTCTCTCTCATCCCCTAACCCCTTAACTCTATATCTACCCCCCTGTATTCTTTCTCCTCCTTTACTTATGCTTTCTTTCTCTGTTATAGATCCATCCCCAGAGAGGCATAGTTTGGTATCTCCCTTCTTTGTTTAAGGTCACTAACAATGTAATCCCATTATCCCAACATCTGCGACTATAACTAAAAACTTAATTTACTAGGTATTATAAGCATTATCTACTGAACATTCCCCTGCCATGTAAAAAAATGGAAGTTTCAAAGTCTGTAGAAGTCTAATTCAGATATCATTTAATTAACTTGGAATTATATCGGGCATAGGTACTTAAAAACAAATCTGGGAAACTCTGAAGAGGATGGCTAAGCAAGATATTGGTCCAGGCTGAGGGTGAAGGATCAGGATCTTACCCAGAGATGACACTGTTATGTTGGTAGGTCCTAG